TTATCCAGCCTTTTCTGGCCCCTGATGGATAGGCTGGAGTGGAAGTGAAGGAGGGGAAAGAGGCCTTCTTCTCCTGTACCCATTATCGTGGACGGGTTTACATGCTCTTGCCCCTAGCCATTTCCCCTGTTCACCCTGAAAAAAAATGACATGCAGACAACTTACTGTTGATACTTGTCATCCTTGCCTGGAAGCAGTTACCTAGGGGAAACAAAGACAGTGAAGCTGATGCTGAGAACGAGTCAGATTTTCCACATTACAATTGTTGGGTGTTTTTCCTTTCTAAAGTGAGGCCAGTATTACTCCCTGAGAGTGTTCTGTCTTGAGGCTCGGGACCCTGGTCACTGCTGTTTTCCAGTTGTTACTAGAATGGCTGGCTTATGAGTTTCAGTGTGTGCAGCCTGGCACCCACGCCCAGGCTCTGGGGGGCTTTTGCCCCATAGAAGGTGGCTGTGAGCAAAGGTTGGTGATTTGCCGATTACAGTCTCACATCTTGTTTTAGCATTCTTGGGCTCTCTTCACGTCCTTGAAATATATTAGCAACTGCTAGCCAAGCCCTCCTTCTGCCCAGCCGGTGTGGGCAGATGCCACCCTGGAGACCATCCCTGGTGTGTATGTCCTTATGAGGCTGTTTTCAGGGATCAGGAACTTTACCTTCTCTGATCAACCATGGATTAAGGCTCTGTGTTGTGGAATTTACTATAAAGCCAGTCTGTCTTGAATTCCATCCAATGTGATTTGTCGCTGAGAGTACCAAGAAGACCTGGTTAGCATATTTTTTCATCTGTGGCAGGCTCTGTCCCCCTACCCCTGTAGGATAGGTAACCTCATGGCAAGACATAAAGTAACACACAGAATTCCTCCAGAAGAACTGGAAACCTAGTCCATGTTAACCCTGCCTTCAGTTGTCTTGCCCCTCACTTCCTGTCTTTGTCTCTTGTCTCTTGAACTCTCTTCTTCTTTCCCGTCTTTACTGTATGTGTTCCGTTCCACCTTCGATATTTTACCTCCCACCTGTTTCTGTAGCGACATTGGTCTCTCTAGGTGGTACCTGTGGGGCATAGCTCCCCCTTTGGTGAATTTCTTATAATTGTCACAGATTTTTAACATGAGTTTCCTGGGTACTGATTTCACACTTTGAGTCACATGGGATCTCAGTTGCTCCCAGCTCTCTGGGCTAAACAGGGACCTTAGGTTTCCAAGGAAGGGGGAATCCACCTCCTTCATAAAGGGATTGAGGGCTCCACCAGAGTGAACATGGTAGTTTGAAGGGTGGACAGAGTGGTTGAGGCATCTTCCGACCTAGCTCTAACTGGGGAGGCCCAGCCCAGCCCAGCACCTCTGCCTTTCTGGTGCTTAGCACTACATAGAATGAATGTCTGAACTGCACAGACTTGGCTGCCCTCTCCCTGGGCACATGAGGATTCCACCAGACAGCACACCCTGGAAGAATGTGTGCAAGGAGCAGCTACATCATCTGGACTGGAACTGTGGGAGGCAGAAACCTTCCTCCACCACCCATCCTCCATTGGCCGATGGGACACTTCTGTGCCGCGTACACCAGTATATCCCATATTCGCCTTTATAACGCTTGCTGGCCTTGAGGAACCAGAAGAAAGGCCCACCTCCGTGCTGGGTCTCCCTCCTTTGTAATAAAAATTGTGGAGGCGTTTGTGGGTCTTTACTACCTGGGGCAAGGGAATGGCAATCAGTGTGTCCAGAGATGCAGGGGCACTGAGGCTGCATGGCATCATGTGACTGTCTTTTCTTTCAATTCCCCCCACCCCACCCCTCTTCCCCCGAAACTGGTTCCTTGGCCTAACTGGGTCCTCCTGTCTCCACAGCCCCAGAGTGCAGGGCGGGGTCCAGGGCCAGGGAAGGGCGCCCTCTAGTGGAGTCAGAAGGGAATTCTTACGTCCAGTTGCAAGAAAACTCTTGATAAACAGTCTCTGCGACCTTGTAGGACGTTTTGGTGCCCATTGTGGTTTTAAGCAGGTGGGTTGTCAAGAGGAACTTGGGAATATTTTTATTACACGCCAGTTTACTCCAGGTGTGACCACTTTAAGAAAAGCCAAAGTCAAAGACCAAGTAAATCGAGTCTTGATTTTATGGAAGGCTTCCCTGCTGGGTTTTTTCTTAATTGTATGCCCTAATGAATTTAACTGGGTTTGATTGGCAAATTTGGATTTACACCCGTTGTTTTTTAAACACATCAGTTGAATAAAGTTGAGATTTATTTTATTTAGAAAATTAATACTTTGTAAAGGCACTTGACATTCATTGTTATGAATGCCCCTTGTTTTCTTTCCAGGCCAGAGATTCTCACACTGCTGCAGGGCCAGGCTGGGTGGTTCACAAGTAGCTGGGGACCTTCGTTATTACAGATTCCTGGGGCCCTACCCCACACCTCCTGGATTAGAATGTCCAGAGGTGCCCTGTAATGTGGGTGGTTTGGATTTTTTGTTTTTTTAAGTCTCTAAGGTATATTTAAGGTGATGTGTGTATTTTGGAACCACTTTCTCCAAGACAAATGGCTTTTGTCTTAATCGAAGATAATAAATAGCATTTGAAAAGTATATTCTGAACTAGCTCAGCAGGTATATGTGAAGAACAAAACTTGTCAAGTCCAAAATAAAGGCTTACTGTTTATATCCTGCCTTATTCCAGAAAAGATTTGAGGAGACTTACAGGAGAAATCCACAGGTCCTTGGGTACTGCAAGCGGTTTGTGTTCGGCTTCTAACCAAAAGGTTGAAGATTTGAACCCACCCAGTGGCGCTGCGGAAGAAAGGCCTAGTGATCTGCTTCTGTAAAGATTTCAGCCAAGAAAAACCTATGGAGCTCAGTTCTAATTTGGAACACATAGGGTTGCCATGAGTTGTAATCAACTTGAGGGCAGCAGGTTTGGGTTTTTTGGTTTGTACGAAATAACTAAAAAACACTGAAATACAAAGAAGCCAGGACCAAGAACAAATTGGTAGAGTGTCAATACTAAGAAAAAGAGATGAGTGCAAGTTGTAAGGCCCTTCAGAACTGCTCTGGGAAATCCCTAGTTTGGCTTTGAGCCCCAGCACCCAATGCCAAGAGAAAAGCATGATCTGCTATGTCTAAATTGGGGGCGGGGGGTAGAGTGGTCCATTGCTCAGGGGAAGCTTATCCCAGACCTTTAATACTGATAGCTGTGTGCTTGGCTGTGGCCCTCACTGGAAGCCAGGCACAGTTATATTCTAGGTCGTCCAGCTAATCTTCACAAACCCTCTTTGAGGTAGGTTGAGTTTTAGTGACTTTCCCAAGGCCCCACGGGGAGTCGTGGAGGAGCTGGCCCCTTGTCTGGCTGGCTCTATAACCCGAGCTCCTAACCACTACACCAATCAGCCTGTGCTTGTTAAAGAGATGCTCCACCTGGGGGCAGTCATCAAGAGGTGTGCGGGACTGCAGCCTGCCTGGGACCCGGTACAGAGCTCTAAGGCAATTGTTGCAATTAAGACCTTACATGGCAGATCCTCTTAAAGTATTTTCCGAATGGAGAGAGAGATGGAGGGGTTAGGGGAGGAGCTTCTGGAAGTGGAAAATGGGAGCTGTAGCCAGGCCTTGCCAGTAGGGGGAGACATAAATCCGTCTTTGGCTTGACCACCCGAGAGCCTTGCTCTGTCCCTGTGGCTTCCCAGGCTGACCTCCTGACCTAGCGATCCCCTTAGTGTGGCTCTCACCGGCCCCTCCCCAGGCTCCTGTGACATGGGAGCTCTTACTGGGAAGCTAGTGCGGGCTTGATCAGGCCCAGCAGGGAGGCCCGGCGGACCTCAGAAGAGAGCAGGTGGCAGCATGAGGTAGGACATTCACCTTTAAGTAATTTGTTCACTCGTTCAGTGCCCACGTGCACAGCACCTCATTGGATGTTTTGGAGCAGACAGAAGGGGTTGAAGACGACCCTGCCCCCCAGAGCTCACAGCGATTACAGAAGTGTGAAGCAGCAATAGAAGCCCTGAAACCAGACTGCAGACTGGCTTCAAGTTCAGCAGTGCGGCTGCCAGCTACGTGGTAGGCATCTCTCTGAGCTTTCTCATCTTACAACAGAGTAGCACCTGTCCCCCTTCCTTTCCTGGGGTGGACATGAAGCCCCAGTGACCTAGTGTTTATGGCAGACTCCAGAGGCTCTCAGTAATTCCCAACATTTAGCTGCTTGTTCGAATCATCTGGAGAATTTTAAAACTCCTGGTTCTGGGTCCCACCCTCAAGATTCTCAGCCACTTGGTCTGGAGTGTGGTCTGGGTTTCGGGATTTTTCTTTTTAACTTCCCAGGTGATTCTCACGTGTAGCCGAGGCTGCAAACCGCTGTTCTCAATGCCTGACAGATGTGACGGGTTATCATGACTGTGTGGTTGGAAAGACAGGATCTCATGCGAAGCAACTAGAGGGCAAAGCAGGGCTTCCAACAGCTTCGTTCTTGTTCGGATCCCTGAATCTACATTTTAACAGGATCCTCAGGTGATTCATATGTATACGTATACACATAGATTCTTATTCAGTATATCTGGGGGGTGAAAATGCAGATTCTCAGCAGCGATTAGAACGTGACCCTGGGGCAAAGTAACAAATCCTGAACGTTGAGGGACTGCAGTGTAGAGCAGCTGTCACCATGGGGGCAGTCAACTAGGGAGGGCTTTCTGGGAGATGAGTTGGGGACAGTTGGTCATGGGATGTGATTGAAGGAGAAGGGTTGTGGGAAAAGCTGAGGACAAAGGGGACAGGATAGGGGAATCAATAAACTCTAATCAGCCTTCAAGGAGCCCTGGTGGCGCAGTGGTTAAGCTCTCAGTTGCTAACCCAAAGGTTGGCCGTTTGAACCCACCAGCCACTCCACGGGAGAAGATGTGTCAGTCTGCTTCCGTAAAGATTACAGCTTTGGAAACCCCATGGGGCCGTTCTACTCTGTCTTACAGGGTCGCTAGGAGTTGGAATTGACTCATCAGCAACAGGTTTGGTTTTGGCTCATCAGCCTTTGAAGGATCCCTGGTGGCACACTGGTTAAGCACTTGGCTGCTAACAGAGAGGTCGGCGGTTCAAACCTACAAGCTGCTCCTCAGGAGGAAGATGTGGCAGTTTGCTTCCCTAAAGATTACAAGCCTTGGAAACCCTGTGGGGCAGTTCTCCTGTGTCCTATAGGGTTGCTATGAGTCAGGATCAACTCGATGGCAGTCGACAGCAATGGGTTTGGTTGCCGGGGTTTGGAATTAGCCTTTAGGAGCCCTGGTGGTACGTATCGTCAAGCGTTCGACTACTAGCCGTAAGATTGGCAGTTCAAACCCACCCAGAGGCACATTGGAAGACAGGCCTGGTAATCTACTTCCGAAAGGTCACGGTCTTGAAAACCTGATGGAGCACAGTTCTGCTCTGCACATGTGGGGTTGCCATGAGTTGCCCTTTCACTGATAACATCATCTGCCTGGCTCATACCAGCACAGAACATACCCAAGAAGTGGTTGCTTCTCAGAGGCCCGAGAAGCCTGTAATGGAGCTGAATCCCTGGCAAGCAGTAGCCCATCAGAGATGACCAGGTGTGGGCTGTGCAGAAGGGAGGCTGTTCCCACCTCCTCCTTTCCCCTCCCAGCCTGGGCAACGGGCTCCGCATTCTCCAACCCAGGCCCCTCAAGCTCCACCCACCTCCTGGCACTTTCTCAAATGCCGCTGTAAGCCTCCTGTGCCCAGGGCACACGTGGGAGGAGAGAACGAGGAGCTCTGTGAACGAGAGAATCATCATCTCTTCCCCACTGATGTCACCAGTTTGCTGTGAACGTCAGAAGATAAAACCGTGAGCACTCCTGGGTGTTATCCAAATCTTGTTATATGCACCGGGTGGGCGTAAGTTCCATCTCCATGGTGATTTCTTCCAGGCCATTTGTTTCTCCCTACTCCTTCCCCCTGTGGCAAAGGGCAGCCTTTCTTCTCACAGCCCAGATTCCCTGGGAGGCCCTTGAAAGGCAGCCCCCAGGGCAGAATTTCAGAAGGGGGGCCATGGCCACCTCCTTGGATGAGAAGATACCATGGAATAAATTTTCTGAGGTCACCCATTTGAAAGGAACAGCACATAATTAAAGATGTAGGAGGCCTGGGATGTTCACTTAAGGGAAAAAAAAACCCAAGTCCAGTATTGTACCCGCTTAACATAAAGAGTTGATATATTAACCAGAGATGTCATGAGGCAACAGTGAGGTACCAGGCTAGCGGGCGAGAAGCCAGTCTTCATTCAGAGGGCAGATAGCTCATCCTGATGGGGGTCGGCATGGTCAAGGAGGACTTTCTGGAGGGGGAGGACATGAGCTGGTTAGAGAATGGGTTGGCCAGCCAAGCGAGTGGTACTGACTGATTTTTCTGGGGGAAGTTGGGGAGGGGAGCTGGTTTGAAGGGGAAGAGTATAATCTCAGTTCTTAACTGGCTGGGTTTTGGAGTGGATTCTAGAAAGAGTAGAGAATTTGCATTTCTAACAAGTTCCCAGCAAGTTATACATAAGAATCACCAGGGGTTCTTGTTAAACTGTAGATTCTGATTCAGTATATCTGGGGTGGAAATGCAAATTCTCAGCTGGGAACTTATTAGAAATGCAAATTCCCAGCAGGGATTCGAACCAGAACGAACCAGTTCGAATCCCTGGCTTACACACTGAGAACTTGTGGAGGTGGGGCAGGCTGCAGGGCTGGTTGATTCGGGGCTCTTTCCATCTCTCCACGCCGCCATTCTCCATCTCAGCCTCATCACAGGCTGGAAGGTGGCAAGGTGGTGGCAGTGATTTCAGGGCACAGCGCAACCCACCTCTTCACAGGATTCTATCCTGAGAGTGAAGCAGCATTTCCCAGAAGCCCCCAGCAGACCCTGCTCATGCCTCATTGGCTAAAAAGGGGCCACATACCCATTCCTGAGCCAGTCATTGGCCAGGGGGTGGGTGAGCAGCTGCCCTGAGGCTCATGGAGGCACAGGGGAGAGGCAGGGCACCTGCATGAAAGGAGGCTCTGAGGCAGGAGAGGGGGCAGAACAGAGGCTGCACGGACAAGCAGCAGTGTCCACAGCCCACTGGATAAATGTAAATGACGACATTTAGAATCAAGTCGAACTTTGCTGGTAAAACAACTAACCAAAAGGTTGCTAACTGAAAGACTGGCATTTCAAACCCACCCAGTGACTCCGTGGGAGAAGGACCTGGACATCTGTTCCCATAAAGATTGCAGCCTAGAAAAGCCTATGGGGGCAGTTCTGTCACCTGGGGTCACTGTGAGTTGAAATCGACTAGATAGTACCTAACAAAAGGGTGGGTGTATGGCCCCTTTCTGGCCAACCTATCAACAATAATGATAATAATGACATCATTATTGTTATTATTTGGATTACGTTTAATCCATATAAATCCTAGAGGGAGATATTATTTATCTCCAGCTGACAGGTGAGGTAACTGAGTCTTCCGGAGGTGAAATGACTCCAGTTTCCTCGTCTCCAAAACTCGTCTCCTAATGACCCCAGACAGCGGCTGCTTAAGTAGCTTTACTGTAATTGATTGTCCAGAGATGCAGAGAGTGGGTGGTTTATCACAAACAGTAATTCTATTAAAGCTGTTCCTTAGGATCTGCTTGGAATCTTGCTAGCCAGGTTACCATTCTTGGGGCCCTTGAATATTTAAAAGATCAAACCAAACCTGCTCCGTTGAATTGATTCCAATTCGTAGAGACTCTATAGGACAGAGTAGAACTGCCCCATATGGTTTCCAAGGAGCAGCTGGTGGATTTGAACTGCTGACTTTTTGCTTAGCAGCCAAGCGCTTCACCACTGTGCC